CAAATTGCATTCATGCTTTTAAAAATTACATCCGTAAAATCGAATAACTGATGTTTTGTTTTATTTCTCAAAATATCTCAAGAATTTGACAATAGTTCATTCTTACTATTAATTTTTTAAGAAATGAATGCCTGTAACATATTTTCATTTTTAAAAGTTGACTTTTTGAGTACGTCGCATGGCCACGTTTCTGTAGATTTTACATTTTTCAGTGAGTTTTTCACCTGTTGATAAATACTGTGAACGTTTTGTGTATATTTAGATATATTTAGCTCTGTTGAAAGACGTGCATAATGTCAAATCATAAAAATAAAAATTGTTTAGTCTCTAAGAAAACTTGTAAGATTTCCGCTGCTAGTTTTGCTTAATGAGCGTAATTTAGATAATCGGTGCAATTTGGGTACTGTGACGTTAACTGTTTCACCATAAATGGAAATAGGTCATTGACGGAAACACCACAAAACGAGGTATTCATATATTGAATGCATTTACCATGACTTTTGTTTTTTGAACCATGTTGCAGTTTCCAGTTATCGATCCCAGTAGTCATTCCCTTTGTCTATGGAGAGGTGTTGCAAGGTGAAGACTGTTAGTTTAGTTCTGTGGTCGTTATGGAATATCTGTTTTTTTCAGATGACGACGGATATGTTCCAACAATCCCTTCGTCTTTTCCTCGAATATGACCTACCGAATAAGACTTATCACCGGGTTTGTAATTATATGGACAACACGACGGATGCCACATGTGGAGCAGGATCGACTTACCCTTCCGGTTCACCTAAGATCACAGCCGGGTTTTGGTGGGGTTCGTGTTGCTCACTCTTTAGTTTTTCTATGTTGTGTTTTGTATATTTATACTGTTGCTTGTCTTTTAGTCGTTTTGCGTTTTTTGCCATGTCATTGTCAGTTCGTTTTCGACTTATGAGTTTGATTATCCCTTTTGGTATATGTTACTTCTGTTCTCCGATATTTACCAACATATATGTATTTATTAAAGTAACATACATGTGTTTATCTCACCATTTCGCCTTTAAGCTAAAAAATATTTGGATAAGAAACCTTCCAGACAAAGTTTAAGTTAGCCTTAAAAAGTTTTTTTTTTATTAACAAAAATTAAGTGTCCAGATGGATTCTAGCCTTAATTGTATTACAGATATACTTGTGTTTGATATATATTTTCCAACACGTGCGTCTTTCATTCAGATAAGTTTCGTTCAAAGCATTAAAAAAATCTGACTTTTTAAATGTTTATCGCTGTCTTATTCATTATTACAAGATCATAACTATGAAACAGGAAAGTGATATATTGTTTCGGATTTGATTTAAGATAAACTTACGAACTGACGTTCTTTGCTTTATTTAAAAGTTATCATTATCCTCTTATCAAAACATATAATTTAATCAACATTAACCAAATATATGATTGCTTTAAATATAGTATATTACGAATATTGTGATAGCATTTGTATTTTATTTTATTATGTTTCTGTTGTGCGGACATTTTGATATACTTGTATACTTAATTTCAGTAGAATATTTACATACTCATAAATACTCAATTTTTCACAACATTTCTTAAATAAGATTCGTCTAAAAGCAGTGAAGCTCTTTTAATGCGCATTGAAAAATCGTCAAATATATTGTCAGTCTAAGCTGCAAAGGTTGTTATCCATATCCATAAGACGTAAACACGTTTATAGATGCAAAGGTTCAACGCTAATATGGATGCTTGCTATAAGACTGTTTTCGGTCATCTATTGATTGCTATTCAGCTATATATAGACTACTATATGAACCATTACGATGATAAAATTATGTACATCAATCATATTTTCGAAAAATAGAGACACTTTCCAAAGTTTTATATAATTAGCATGGTGGATTAAGTACTTTTGATTTTTGAGGTTTCGGGGCGTCTCAACTCCTTTATTGATGAACTTGATGAACTTCTATTATCGTTTTTAAAAAAGTTGCTCATTTCTAGTAATTTGAGGAATTTTTTAAAAATACTGACCTACAAAATGATGGCGAATACTGGCAAACCCTATTTAATCTTGTATCAAGACCAAAATACTATAAAATATTCAATCCAAAAACAGTACCCTTTAAAAAAGTAATGTTTCAGATAAAGCTAAGTCATCAAAGATACCCGGCTTAAAATCTACATAAGACTCATCATTGTGGCTTTAATCAAAGCAGTTTAGAGGTCATATCAATGACGAAATTAAAGGGCAGTGAAAACTGAAAATTTTAAAAACGGTGTGCAAAATCTGGCCATCTGTGCTTTGGGGTAGAAGAAAACATGGTGTTTCCAAAGATTTTAACATTTTATGTTACCCGTTCAATTGGCTTAAAAACCAACATTATTTGTGAACAAGAAAAAATTAATTTGATTAAGATAAACATTAAGGTTTTAGACAAACATTTGTTTCTAATGGGAACTTAGGAATTTTATCTGAGCTACCTTCCTTGATGCTTGAAAATGTTCTACGATCCATAATGATTTTGTCTCAAACGTAACTGACGCAATTCCAGAAACGCGTATCCTGACTACTGAAATATATATTATATTGTGCATTATAATATTTCTAAAAATATTCTTTAATTCATTTAAAAGCTGGACAATGTTTTTAACTATCCTATTTATGATGCTCCGAAACAATGTATTTCATTTATGTTCGAAAATTAAATGTATTTTTTTGAAAATCATTCTAATAATAAACTTGATAATGACATAATAGAGAAAGTTCATATATGTAAATCATTGATTAAGGGAATATCAAAATGATAGTATCTGTATATCAATACACATTGAGTTAAACATAATGAAATATGATTCAAAGAAGGTAAGCAGCTATAAATTTAGTTAATGATAACACAAAGTGGATCAAGCCTGTTTTACTTAAATGCATGTATTGTCTACTTCACGTAATGTTAATGTTACCTTACATATATGTAAACAGTAAAAAGGTAAATAGTAATAAGATACCAAAACTACACGCAATGTAGATATCAATGCACTGATTTTATGTTTCGATAACTAACATAAGAATTTTCAATGTAATGAATATGTAAAACTAAACAAATGAAAGCAAATCTCATTTTCAGAAAACGAATTGATTAGAAATTACAAGTTTGAGATCAATAATTTTTTGTTATACTGTTATGAATATGTTGAAAAGTTGTACGTGGATATCATCTAGAGGGCAACATTCGGTCTTCAACTGGGGACAAGTGCCCATTTTGATACATCATGCTTTAATAATATTAAAATATATACAAGCCTCGAATAAACACTACAGCGATTACCAAGATTTCTCTTTCTCTTTCAGAATAATATTTTGTAGCTAGTTATAGTTATAAAAACACTTTATTTGAATTTGAAATCTTTCATGAGCGGGGACGAGACTTTTGCTATATACTGAGTTGTTGTGACAAATGCACATTGTTTTTTTAATTATGCTTTATGACACACGTACAGTACGGAAGCCCATTTAGGACCTCCCAAAGTATATATTTGAATTCGAAATCACGAATCTAATCTGAATCTAGAATCTAATCTGTTATAGCGAATTGATATAAAATTCAAATTATTTTTTTGGGAGGTCCTAAATGGGGCTTCCATATTAACAGTACAAGCTTTAGATAAAGTTTTTTGTATTTTCCATTACGTATGCTGTAAAAGTAAACTAATATAATCTGCATATTTATCTGAAGAGATATTATTTGTCTAAATACACATTTAGTGCAGTTACATTGGTATCGTTAATTTTATTACTACCACTAGGTTGATGCCTCTGCTGGTGTGACCTCGAGCATCACTGAAGAGACAGTTATTGTCAAAATGTACATTTGGTGCAGTAAATTGGTATCGTTAATGTTAAAACAAGTGAAAAATTCGTAATTTAATGGATATTTATTAAATTCTCGTTTCTTTTTAGCTCATCCCCTTCTATTATCTTGTTGGATTGATATGATACTTCATTTCAATGTAGTATATAATTCCAAGATTTTAAATACAACATATGGTTTTGATACCATGTAATCTAGCTGTAATGTAGCCTTTCAATTTACCACAAATAGATCCAAGTTCCTCTACCCATTGACATCCGCGTGCCAATGTTAATTTCAGGGTGTATTCCTAGTTATATATGACTATCGCAACAACTATAATTGTAAGGAGGTTTATTAGAATTAGCTCTTACTCGCACTGAGTCTTCTTGATTTTCTGCTAAGGTCCCGTTTTGGTTGTTATTCGCTTTAAATGTCAAAATTCTAAATTTCAAAAAAGGACAAATTGAAGAAACTAAAACCGTAAATGAACAACCTGATATTATTCTTGCTTATCCTGACGGAACATTGATACTTATATAAGAAAATGATATGAGACACGTAAGAGCAATATTAACATATGAAACCAAAATAAGACATGGACATGTACACATAAAATGGTGAACGTATTTGTAGCTATTACGTTACCGAGTTCAATGCGAATGAAAGTAAGTTAAAGACGGTACATAGTGTTCAGGTTATGAACTGACATGATTGAAAGAGAAATATTATCGGAAATCTATAATTGATAAACACGTTTCTGAAAATGAAAAAAGGCAGAAGATAACAACGGGACTTTCAAAACTCATAAGTCGAAGAAAGACTAACAACACAATGATAAACCTTAAATTCGCTAGATGTTTTAGGACCGGGGCTTTTAAGTCTTTCTTTTTAGTGATAAGATATACCCAGGAAATGCATCAACATGACTTTTATTCACGCATTTTCCGTCTTTTTCTTCGACTTATTACAATTACATTAAGTGTAGTAATTTTTCTAAACCATATGCGCTTTTCGAGGATAAATGTCTTCAATGCTTTCAACATATTTGAATTTCCGACCCAATACAAACGTTGAAGAGGTGATAAAAACAAAAAGTTTTAAATGTGAAACCTGTTTCAATAGACTATGATTTATATTAAAAAATAATTGATTATATTTCAGACATAAGTGGTGTTTGCTTTAAGAACTTAAAAAGCCAAGCAATAGCTAATATTGTTGAAAATGGATGATACCGATGGAGATTTTCCTCTACCTGGAATAGAGAGCAGTTATGCTTATGAAGATGAAGATGAAGACAACGAATACGATTCATTTTCAGACATCGATCCTTATTACAGCGATAATTCCAACGATGAAAAGAGTGACACATCTATCATCTATACAAGAGAATTACAGAATTCCGCAATAACAGAAATACCTACTATTATTCCTGCTAATCCTGACGGAACTTTAATACTTCTGGAAGGAAACAATATGAGACACGTGAGAGCACTATACGCATATGCTATCAATTTCAGAATGCACTATACGTGTTTCTGGAATAAGTTTTATCATGTCCGCTGCTAAGATAATGAGCCAATTTTACAAAACGTATGAGACCTTAAACAAAATGATCTGAAAAGGACATCCATAATCTTCCCCGGTTAATTTCAGCTAAGGAAGTCGAAACCATATATTTTTTTTATACAGTTTCATTATTTGTAAATTGATAATTAACAGTCTGGTTTTTGGAGAGTTAGTGTTGTTCAATTTTAAGTTTTTCGTGTTATATTTTGCTTCTGGTGTCTTTTTGTGGTTTTACTTTGGGCATGGTATTGTCTGTTTTTATTTTACTTATGTCTTTCGAGTGCCCCCTTGGCATCTTGTCTGTCTTTTCACAGTCAACCAGTTTCTTACAAATTGTGTCAGTACCAACATTTATTGAAATTGCAATAAGAAACTTACTATTTACAAACTTTGTATGTGACAAAACATTTAAATTGTAAAGAACGTCTTTTGTTAAAAACTATATATTGTCTTCTATATGCAATTTTGTTTTTCTGTTGGAATATTGTCTCTTTTACGTACACACAACTCCTCCTTTTATTCATGTGAAGCAAGTATCTAGATTTCAACAAGTTATACGTTAAATGAGACAAAAAATAAAAAATAAACGTTATATCTGATAATTGATGATGACATCAACTGTATCGAACATTCAGCTGGACAAAAATTTAAAGAAAATGCTAAAATTCGATACATCAAATCTTGACTAATTTGCAGCCGACTAACCAAAAACTTAGAAATACAGTATTTGTGGTTTGCTGCAAGTAATATTTTAATGTATGTCACCACAAGCAAAGCAAACTCTTTTTCATCTTTTTGTTCTTCAGTGTGTTGAATTGGAGCTATATTACAAAGGTAAGTATTTATTTAGGTAAATTAGAAACTAAAAATACTTAACTTATAAGCAATTGTAAATTATAGGCAAATACGGTTTAGTGTTGTTAGAATCTCGCAAATCAATGCAGAATATATTAAATCAAAAGCCAAAAAAGCACCCGAAAAACTGGAAACACGATAAATGTCAATTGTTGGAAATGATGGTTACATGTTTATGTTTATGTTTTTTTATTTTACCAGAAAAAATGGCAAGGTGAAGCTGTCTTTACACATAAACTAAAATTTCTAAAAATCCTTTCATGATTTCTTTGATAGAGGGTTGCTGCTCATAAGGAAGCTATTGAACCAAGAGTTCCAAATGGTGAAGTTGAAATCATCCCTTCGTAAATTTTACGGACGCCATCACGAGTTTGTTGACCGTTATGGAATATCTGTTTCACAGATGACAGCGGATATGTTCCAATTGTCGTACCTACAATCCCGTCCCCTTTTTTACCCCGAATGTGACTTACCGAATTAGACTTATTACCAGGTTTGTACTTACATGAGCAACACGACGGGTGGAGCAGAATCTGCTTACCTTTCCGGAGCACCTGAGATCACCCCAGTTTTTTGTGGGGTTCGTGTTGCTCAGTCTTTTGGTTTTCTATGTTGTGTTTTGTGTACTGTTGTTTGTCTGTTGGTCTTTTTCTTTTTTAGCCATGGCGTTGTCAGTTTGTTTTTGACTGATGAGTTTGTCCCCTTGGTATCTTTTGCTCCCTTTTACATAACAGTCTTTCACGATCCTGTTTGTTTAAAATAAATAAATATATATATATATATATATATATAAAGATAGAGTATATAAACAAAATTCTACTTAAATGATTCCACCAGCTGCATCAGCTTCTAAAATAAGGACTTAATAAGGACTTAATAAGGACTCCAATATAATTCAAAAGACTAATTAGAAATGTTCTGTTGATGGAAACTGGATTACTAGTGTTGTTCGACATACGTTAAATAGTTGAACGTAGTAAGTCAGACTCTGACCATATGACAATTATCTTGTAATCTGTGTTGTAATATATCTCGTTTAATATGTCTTAGATGTACTCTACTTACTCGTCTCCAGTGAGATTTGCACAGTATGAAAAGCCAAAACGACGATATCAATGTTATTGATAATGTCCAATTCTAAACAAAATTATAAAACAAAACAACCCGATAATAATTTTTACTTTGATGTCATTTTATGAAGTTTAGGTTTCTAGTTTTCTTCACTATACGCTTTGTAATGAATATACATTAATTTTTGTTCTCGTGATACTAAACCACTATAACGAAACTAAGAAAATACAGGTATGATATATGTTAGAAATAATATGAACAACGACATAGCTAGATAATATAATTAATTATCTAATTACTACCACAATTTGATATTAATAAGTATTGTAGTTTTCATTGTTATTAATAAACGTAATGTCAGTATTACAAATCTAATCTTGAATCAATCCTAATTCTATCTTATTTTTGGGAACGTATTTGTAGCTAATACGTTACCGAGTTCAATGCGAATGAAAGTAAGTTAAAGACGGTACATAGTGTTCAGGTTATGAACTGACATGATTGAAAGAGAAATATTATCGGAAATCTATAATTGATAAACATGTTTCTGAAAATGAAAAAAGGCAGAAGATAACAACGGGACTTTCAAAACTCATAAGTCGAAGAAAGACTAACAACACAATGATAAAATGCTTAAATTCGCTAGATGTTTTAGGACCGGGGCTTTTAAGTCTTTCTTTTTAGTGATAAGATATACCCAGGAAATGCATCAACATGACTTTTATTCACGCATTTTCCGTCTTTTTCTTCGACTTATTACAATTACATTAAGTGTAGTAATTTTTCTAAACCATATGCGCTTTTCGAGGATAAATGTCTTCAATGCTTTCAACATATTTGAATTTCCGACCCAATACAAACGTTACAAATTCAAATGTGACGTCACTTTGTGTGTTTTTTTAGAATTTCAAATGTGACGTCACTTTGTGCGTTAAGGCTTTGGCTAACTCGGCTGTGTATTTTTATGTGTTGGATTAAGTTGTTTTATGTAATGTATCCGTTTTTATTCTGTAGTTAGTCCCCACTTCGGTTTTATCATGTATATCTATTATATAGTCATTTTATAAAATTTACTGTTTGCAAAAATATAAATTATTCTAAATAATAAGGATGTTCTTGTCCCAGGCAGAAAACCCTGGCTGTGTTAGGCGCAAATTTTTGGAAGTTTTGGTCCTCGGTGCTTTTTCAGCTTTGTACTTGTTTTGGCTTGCAAACTTTTTTCATCTGAGCGTCACTGGTTGGTCTTTTCTGGACGAGACGCACGTCTGGCGTATTGAATTTTAAGCCTAGTACCTTTTGTTACCTATTATTCGTGTGTTTCTTTGTCCTATATGTTCTCCCATTTATTTGTATTGTGGTCCTGTCATGTGATGTTGTCGTTTTGGTGTTGTGTTTGACGTTGCCATAAAAGCAGGAGGTTTGGCATGCCACAAAACCAGGTTCAACCCACCATTTTTTTCTTAAAATGTCCTGTACCAAGTCAGGAAAATGGCCATTGTTATATTATAGTTCGTTTCTGTGTGTGTTACATTTTAATGTTGTTTTTTTGTTGTGTCGTTGTTCTCCTCTTATATTTGATGCGTTTCCCTCAGTTTTAGTTTGTAACCCGGATTTGTTTTTATCTCTACCGATTTATGAGTTTCGAACAGCGGTATACTACTGTTGTCTTTATTTGTGTAGAGTATATGCGGAGGGAGACAATAGAACCTTACCAACTACACCATTTAGTGGTCAGGTTACTTTGGATACCTGTCATAGAAGGAATGTCAACCACTGACGACTATAGGGTAAGAGATATTTTGAGAACAGTTGTATAACCATGCTTAATGTAAATATTATAATAAAGGTATATTATATGATAAGTTTATATTATATTTAAAGTATTAACACAATTGTGTATGCCAGTAATGTTTATTGTAAAATGGATAAACATCCAAAATGAGATTGAGATATCCCATTCAATATTTTAAATTCTGAGCTTTAACATGGGAGCATACAGTTATTGAAATTGAGATGGTATTATGATAGATTGCATTCCTAACTTATGCATGTATTTTCTTTTCAGCGACTAATTAAATTAATAGAAAATATCAAAGCATCAGCTGATGAGTTATTGGAAACAAATACATTAGATAACTGCGAAAAGGCTCTCCATGTGTATCTTGACTTAAACATATCTATTATCACTATGAGGAAGAATCTGAGTGACCCTGGCAGTATCGTCGAATATATTAATAGCATCTCGATGCAGATAGCAAGATGTTTTATGTTTATGGTATGCCTTGTAATAATATATTTATGATTTGACCGAGCCTAAAATGAAAACCTGAATGAAAAAAATGCAAGTTAACATTGAAATAAAATCCAACAACATGGAAAACATTTCAACGATACCAGGCATATAATTCGGTACACCAGACGCCCGTTTCGATTACATAAGACTCAACAGTAGTGCTCGAATCAAACCAGGTTGAAGTCAAATAAAATATCAGGTCTTTAATGTTTCTAAATCTGTAAAACCCGTTTCTAATTCAAACTGACTTTAACAAAACGTCCGGAAAACATTATTTTCTAACAAAAAACAACATATTGTTATAAAAAATCTAAGGTCGAGGGTGACAAGATTAATTTTACACTCAAAACATGTTAGCTTTGTTTTAAGGAGTGCTAAATGAATTATACATTATATAACAGCACAGGAAACAATTGACCTGACGAAACACTATTTCTTAATGAAGCATGCAGCTTCATCAATAACTAAGTAACAGAATTTGCATTGTAAACAAGTACAGCAATTGATAGAAAGAAAAACGCTAATCAAAGATGTCTGTTTTATAATTAAGGATGTCAGACGAGCGTTTCTTCTTCACAAGGCTTATAATTTGCTCGAATCTAAAGAGCGCTGACTACTGAACTTGTGATACCATCGGAGACGAAAGTGCACTAACAGTCGAATTGACGCAGTAGTTTAATTTCAACAACGATAACTCATCAGATATAACTTATATAATAACTAGGAACTTTTCATGTCTGCTCAGCAATGCTGACTTCTGGTCTAGTTAGTGGCATTTCCCCAGTGGTTGTAGAAACTCATAAAAGATACCATCAAGTCAATTTCTGAAGCGACGTAACAGTTTCGGTGGTGTATCTTTTAATTTCAAGTTGGAAGGAATAGTTTCGGTAGACATAGTCAAACTGAGAACTATTTACTAATAAGACATCATCCATAAATGTAAACGTGATATATATTAAAAAAATGCATTCTTCTGTCAATTTTCCATAAGCCTTTTTATGAAATCTGTCCAAATTAAGAAACAATTCAGCAAGACGACCGCGATGTTGGTTTCTGTAGGGTGTTGCCTGCTTGTTGAAAACAACTCGTTAGACGGAACATATAAGGAATTATGTAAATCTTAATGCTCGTTAAAAACTACAAATTACATTACATAAAACGACCGTGGCATTATTTCGTATATAAAAAAAACATACTAAAAAAGAACAAAAAACGTAGAGCTTCGTGTACATTTTCTTGTACGGATTTGCAGAAAAAGAGTTGAGAATATGTTAGTACTTGAGCAGTATCGATTGCATTGAAATTCGATATGAAAATAAGGAGATATGGTATGATTGCCAAGGAGACAACTTTCCACCAAAGTCCAAATGACTGAAGGTTACTGTATTGTCTTCAACAATGAGAAAAATCCATACCGTATAGTAAGCTATAAAGGGCTCAGACATGACAAAATTTAAACCAATTCACAAGAGAAAACCAACAGCCTGATCGATGAAAAAATAGTAAACGAAAAATAAGCATGACAGACACCAAACAACGAAAACCCCTGAATAAAAGACTCCTGAATTTGGAAAGGTACATAATTTAATGTATAATCATATTTATATTTCAGGAACAGTATCAACACGCTTGTCAAATTTGCAAAAAAAGTAAGCTACCATATTTATATTAAATAAAATGTCTTTTATGAAGTAATTCACAGTTCTTCCACTTTTAGCTTCAAAATGATGTATAAATAATAAGAGTTTTTTAGAAATCGTAAATAATTAGTACGTTTATAATGTTTTACTTTGTGTGTGTTTCATGCTCCTACAAATGAATACGCTTGCTCTTGTTTATAGAAGAGGCATTAGCAGTTTCAATTGTATAACGGAAGTTATTATTCTTTTTGATAATACTTTCGAATGCACTCAAACAGATTAAAAATTGAGTTGTCCTTAAACAACAAAACCAATACATTGATATGTATTAGTTTTCAGTAATAATATAAAAATAAGGAGATGTTGTAAAACTGCCAAATGGAGCAACTATCAACAAGAGACAAAATGAAGGGCAAGTAAGCAACTATGGATCACCGTACAGCTTTCAACAATGAGCGAAACCCAACCCGTATAGGAAACTATAAATAAATAATGTACATAATGCTATTGGATTCTCTTGTATGTTTTTATTTTTTATTTTGAGACCTTTCAAGCATGATCTTATAGGATATAATTTAAAATGTTTAAACATTGGTCTTTACTATTTTATAGTGGATGCACACTTATCTATAAAACCAGGATGTTCTGTTTTCCCACAATTCTTTCTTATCTGGATTGAAGCTCTCATTAAGCTTGGAAATATAGATATTGCAAAGAAGAAGGTTAAACATTACCTTGCACTGACAACAACAAAGGTATGCAACATGGTGAACAAATTGTAATGGGAAATTAAGCAGATAGGACGAAAGTCAAAATATGTTGTTGATAATAACGTACAATTTTTTTTTATCGTGTTTGTCATTGACTTACATAAAAAGGTAATTTAAGCAAGTACAGCTGGCATGGACATTCAGTTGGGATCTTCACGTTTCCTTTATACACATTTCCATTAAAAAATTTTTTTTTTTACATAAAGTCTATAGGAATTTGTTTTGAATACGAATTAAATATTTGTCATATATTCTAACTTTAAATCTACCATATGTTCTAATACAAAAACACATCAAGCTAATTCTTATATTAAAGCTTTCAGAAAAATGTATGACGTTTTCTCACTCAGATTTCTTTTCATAACGAGTAAATGCATCCCAAACTTATTGTTATATCAGATATTTAATATAAAAAAACCAAAACTAATCCAATATTTAAATTGAAGAACGAACTGAAATTAACTTTCTACAATAGCCCCACGAATGGGACTATCGTCAATGACCCAGCGTTTCAGCCCACTGAACACATTTTCACTGTGTCATAGATCCCACGTATCCACTACTGCCAAAAAAATGATAAATAAGAGTTTATAAATTTTGTGCGTCTGAAGCGCTCTTTTGTAATAATCTAAACATGAACGCTCTAATACGGACGTTTTCAAGCAAGTGATAATAAATATATAAAAACGTTCGGACCTATGTGTCTGTTTGATAAAATTTTACTTCAGCTGTCATCGATCGGTATACTTCCTTAGTATTAAGCAGCACTTATATATATAATTTTAAAACTTTTCTAAAGAAAAACAAAATTCTTTTGAAAGTAAAGCAATTTTTGTCTTTAAGAAACAAATAAGGTAATTTTGATTTTTTATGTCCTTAAGTATCCATTTTACAAACATTGTCTTCTAAAGCAATTCTAATTTCAGATTTATAATATTTTTCTTATATTTTAAGTATATGGTATTTTAAGTTTAAATGAAGTTTACCGACTACATACTGATGGTTTTGGAGACAAATACCCGAGAAATAGTATACAAAACAACACAACAACCCCGGTAAAGTAAGAAAGAAAGAAACAAAATAAAATGAAATCACATAGAAAATAAAAAGGAGGTAATTGGTATTAAACCGATTGACTGTTTTTTTATCAACTGGCTCATTTCTATAAGTTTAACAATGATTAAACTAATTGCTGATAAGATTTTTTGAGTACGAGGAATGATCTAAAAAATTCGGGGACAAATTTTTAATAAAACTGAAATTAATTTTCGAATGATTTCATGCTGTTGATATATATTTTCTCAGTCTGAGCAGGACATTTGGTTGCCAAAGGAGAAAAGATTGCGTGCACATAACTTATTGATAGTACTACGTATAAAACAATAGAATGCAAACGTCTATTGTAGCAAAAAGAATGCAGATGATTTTTTTTAATTCCGTATCATATATTTAATGTATATTCCGGACGGGAACATTGAAACAATATATCAATTGCATAAGTTTTAAAACTTGTTGGACATGGGGTAATCGTCAGGAAAATTAATTTCCTTTGGAAAAAAAAATGTAAATGATTACAAACATCCCAGTAAAATGTGTGTTTAATACAGAGTCTTACTACATGAAGGAAACAGTCAAGATAGCTTAACACTTAGATGATACACAATTGTGAAGAATGGCTATTTCACACGTGCCTAATTGTTATTGTGATATTTGCTTGTATGAAACTACGTTTTCCCAAACTCTAGAATTATGCCGAATCCTTGTTTGCAGGAAGACAAGGATGCTGTTACCTCGTTAGTAGATCGAATAAACACAATAGAGGAAGAACGAAAACACATAGAAGAGGAAGTCGTGGATAGCGACAATGAATATGTAAAGTGTTCTAATTATACTGGTATAAAACAGGTTATTATTTTTAATCACTACTTATGAATATATCTCCTTAATAATTTTGTTGTTGTAATAGCTCAAATCGCCTGTTAATAAGTCACCGTATCTTTCATTGAGTTCTACTAGTACAGTATCTTTCCTGTAGAAAAAAATAATGAGATATAGAAAAATCTCACATCGATGAAAGAGAGACAGCATAATTGTATAAAAAAAGAGAAACATATCAAAACAACATTCCTCAAAACAAATATCAGGATGAGCAAAGTTCATAAAGTTACTCCAACGTCAAAAAGCTCCCTTGTATACAACAAGTCTCTATTTCTGAAATAAGGATAAAATACACAAGCCCTTGAAAACCATATCGAGTGGGAGAAATATATATTATACATAAAAACGCTGCTTGAATGTGGTAACATACAGATTGAAAGTTCAAATACGAAATAGAATCACCTCTTTCTTTTTAGCTCTTATTTTTCAATTGACAATAACTGTTGATTTCTAAGATTAACTTGAAATATTAAGAAGATCTTTTGTAGAATACCTCAATGCTATTTTACTTGCTACAAAATATATCAATTGAATTATTTCAATACAAAAGTACTGGATACAAGGCGTCTGTTATCCACAGCGGAAGAAGTGTTAGTTTATCATAGGTGTTTCCTATTATACCCCAGTATGTTAAGTGCACGGTGTTCATAACCATTCATTTTGAGCTGCAATAGATATAAAAGAATTATTTTGGAGTGTTTTATTTCAAATTTTTAAATACTAGAAACCGATAATCATTACAGCAAAGACTTAAAGCTAAAGAAGTAAAAGAAAATTACCAGAGAAAGAAACGACATCGTCGTAAGTAGTGTTTTAAAATATTTCTTTACACTTTATAACCTGATCTCGGTACTGCCGATGAAATAGGTAACACTAATCTAAATCTGCTGTACAGGATAACCAAATTCTTTGCATTACAATAGCGCAATGATAATCTGGTTTGCTGACCAAACAAGATCGATTATTTTGAATGGAAATCGGGAACTCGGATAATGTTGTATGTATACATCGATAGCCTGTAAAAATGTGTTTATTTATATTCTCAAAGTGACGGGGAACAACACTTTTCCCTTAATTTGTTGGCAGTTAATGATGTATGTTGAGAAACAAATACCCTGAGTAGGCCCATAAATTTCAACTGTACCACGTCTCGGTAGATTGTAAACAAGCGAGGTTATTACAAATACTTGAAGAAAACTGTTCAAATCACTACATGTCCTTACAGATGTTGACCGTAACCGACTTTGACCCATTTTTATATAAGGTAGAATGACACTTATCACATATACGGCTGCAGATACTAACCTTTCCTTACCACACGATAAGAAATCCAGCTTATAATGGGAGCTTGTATTGTCTTAATTTGGGGGATAAAAAGCGGTTTAAATAGATAGACAATGTGTACGTGAAAGGTAATCCCAATCATGTTATTCTAACTATTACATATTAAATAATAATAATAAAAAAAAAAATACAAACCTTAAATTGTTTTTATATGAGATGTTGAACAATTGCAGAATTTCCTATTCCGTCAGATATACATATATGTTTAATGACAGAGAGGTGAAAGATACCAAAGGGACATTCAAACTCATAAGTCGAAAATAAACTGACAACGCCATGGCTAAAAAAGAAAAAGACAAACAGACAAACAATAGTACACAAAACACAACATAGAAAACTAAAGACTGAGCAACACGAACCCCACCAAAAACTGGGGGTGATCTCAGGTGCTCCGGAAGGGTAAGCAGATCCTGCTCCACATGTGGCACCCGTCGTGTTGCTCATGTTAGTACCAACCCGGTAATAAGTCTAATTCGGTAGGTCACATTTGGGAAAAGGGGACGGGATTGTAGTTACGACATTAGAAACATATCCGCTATCATCTGTGAAACGGATATTCCGTAACGATCAACCAACTCGTGATGGCGTCCGTAAAATTTACGGTGGGATGATTTCAACTTCACCCCTGGGAACTCTTGGTTTAATAGCTTCCTTGTGAGCAGCAACCCTCTATCAAGGAAATCATGATAGGAAATACAAGCCCTGGAGTATCGTATCAACTGGGAGATATATACTCCGTATGCAGGCGCTGCTGGAATGTTGCTCATTCACGAAGGTGACATAAACTCAGATGGTTTTGTTTTACATTTAGGACCCTTTTGATTCAATAGCTTCGAAAATATTGAAGTATTTCTACATTCTTGGCTTAAAATTGTTTGTGTTTTTATCGTTTCTGATGAATGTGAAAAAAAACTCTACGTACACATCAAATTTATTAACTGCGCTGGTGAAGTTTCTTGTTGCCAAGTCTTTAATTTTCTAAATAGTGTTTTGTAGAATGTTATGTGTCTTTTCCTTTCGTCGTTTGTTGTGTTTTGCCATGGTTTTTGTCGACTTATACTTCTTGATTATCCTCTAGTTATCTTCTTGTCTTGTTTACAAAATGAAAGTAGTTCGTATGAACGTCTTTATTAACTATCTTGTCCTCATTTTTTACCATGAGCGGACTTAATCTTCGTACCCTGCATCTTACTATTTAAGTGGTTAAATTTGTAATTTTGGGATGTTTTTATCTCATATATGTTTTAATTTACACACTTATAAGGCACAAAGAAATTTGAAATGTACTTTCTTTTTTCAGCGAAAAGAGAACATAAAACTGTGGAATACTTTACAATGTCAACTTCGTGGAAAGGTACCAAAGCTAAGAGGTTTATGAGTGCAAAGGACACGGGATGCTCAAACGAATGTATTAGCTCATCGAAGCTAGTTGAAACAATACAAATACCAAAAGGTCATGACATTTCTGATGTTGAAAGCGACGAAGAATTTGACAAATTGACTAAAGACAACTGGATTGGTTCTGATAATACATTGGCTGATGATGAAAAAGATATTGAAAGTGAACCTATCGATTACTACGAGCAGAGTGTACAGATATATGAAAGGGATCAGTCCAATGAGTTAAACGAATGTGAGTGGTTAAAAAATGGAATAATATTATCAAAAAAATATTTAGACCAGCATTTAAAAACAAAGATTCAAAGACAAAAGAAAAACATATTTCAATACAAAGAATTTTACGGGACTAAAAAACTAAAAGAACTTTGTCAAAGAAATCCTCATAAATTCAAGACCTGTAAAGTTAAACTCGAGGCTGCACACACAGCAGTATGCAAAATCATCGATCATTCTGACAAAATATCCGAAATAGAAATATCTGGAAGGTCCAAAATAGGCAAGGTTTTTAATGACGATGAAGTTTGCGTTGAAATATTAAAGGATGAGATTGAAGAATACAAAAGCCACGCACAAATTGATTCAAGACGGAACTTTACTACATATACACCCAACCAGAATTTGAAAATTTATGGTCAGATAAAAGGAGTTATAAAACGGATTCATTTTCCAAATGTTAACCATCCTGTCTTTGTTTGCATGTTGGATGAATCGGAATATCATTTAATGTTGCCAGTTTCAAAAACAATACCAAAACTTCATATACTGAATAACAATTGTACAAACAATTATCAAATTGATGTATACCGGTATGATGCAGAGAAGGAAGAACTTGAACACAAAGAACTCTTTACTATCAAACCAGGAGAAAAAAAGAACTTCATTTTTTTGGTAGCCATGATATGCTGGAATGACATTTACCCACGCGGTGCAGTTATCAAAATCTTAAATGCAAAAAGCGGCTTACATTCCGGGATTGAAATCTTGAAATTACAACATCAAGTGCCTACAATGTACAAGAAAAAAACAATTGAAAATCTGAATTTGTTGCTAGAATTGGATGAGCCTCTTTTATTTAAAAAAGACCGAATAGACTTAACCGGTTTGGAAATATTTACGATTGATCCATCAAATTCAAGAGACTTGGATGATGCTTTAAGTATCGAAGATTTAGATGATACCTATAGGGTTGGTGTACACATTGCAGATGTAACTTTTTACGTTGAAAAGGGTAGCGATATTGACATTGAAGCCTATGAACGTGCCACTACGTATTATCCCGGCAATGGTTTTATTCCACACCATATGTTGCCTTCTCCTTTAAGTACGCAGTTATGTAGTTTAATACCTGGAGAAACGAGACCTTCGATATCTTTATTTTTTACCTTTAAAAAAAAAGATGGTCTCCAAAAGCATGAAACTGAAATTCAGAGAAGTTACATCAAATCAACAAAACAACTCTCATATAGAGATGTTCAAAGCATTATTCTGAATGCTGAAATAACACATACAGATTCTTTATGTAAGCAAATTCATGGCTTGTTTAACCTAGCTAAAAACCAAAGGGTTAACAGATTGGGCAGTGGGTTATTTTACTCTCCAATATCAAAACACGACGATGATGATGATTTCATAGATACAAGGGAGGCTCATTATTTGGTGGAAGAGTTCATGATACTTGCCAATAACGCAATAGGGAAATTTCTCTTAAAGAAATTTGAAGACTGTATTCCTCTCCGAGTACAGCAGCCACCGAATCCAGAGCATGTGAAAACATGGCTAGAATCACATGAATATTATGCTGATTTAATACTAAAGTTACAGGAAATTCGACCGTCTCCATCATTATGGCATGATCGAAAGCTTACAATAGATAATACTCAAACTGAAAAATATGACAAGCTACTCATGTATCAGCATTGGGTTTGGAAGAAAATAATATTAGCAATCGAACAAAAAGATTACACAGCGGCAAGTCGAATCATAGGTTGTGATGAACTACATCCATTCTCATGTTTGGCACTGGAGGAGTGGTATGAATACCAAGAAAGAGCTGAATACAAATGCTCAGGTGAAATACATCCAAAGCAAGATGGTTCTCATTTTACACTAAGCATGTTCCCATACACTCATTTTACATCACCAATTCGACGATACTCAGATATAATCGTTCACCGGCTACTGCATTGTGCCTTAAATAATAAAGGTCCCTGCTATACAAAAGATGAGGTTTCCGAAATGTGTCATTATCTGAATGAAGTGACAAGGCGAGCAAAGAAATACCAAAAACACTGCCGAGCGTTAAGATGGGGATACAAATTAACCGAAGAGCCGCAAATTTTTCATGGATTTGTTAAAACTGTTTCTGAGAAAGAGATATCCGTTGTTTTTCCTGGTCATAGATCTCTACCAAAAAGTTCAAAAAACATTCAACTAAATTGTTTAAATGCTTTGAAGAAACCAGAATTCAAGACAGATACGTTAACTGGAAGGAAAATTTTAGAGCTGACTTGGAAAAAGAGGTTATACTCATTCGATGGATATACCCCTATTAAGAAGAAAGAAATAAAGCAGGATAGTTACAGGTTGAATCCACACAACCGGGGATTTTTCCAACAGCAAAGGAAATGGAAAGTAATACTGGAAAATTTAACCTCAGCAAAAAGTCCAAAGGAAAAAATGAAAAGGTTACGAAAAATCATCAACGATATTGGATTGGGAGATTCGAAGGAAAACGTCGACAAGCTTCTAGGAAACGTACCATCATGTTTCGAGACAGAAAGAGATGTCAGTTCTGAGGTGCGAGAAGGACCAATTACATTACAAAGCTGTCAGTTTACTATGACCTTTAATCATCAACAAATAGTACCTCTTCAGCTGTCTGCCGAATATGTAAAGGGTGTACTCATTCCACAAATCGAGATATTTGATATGACGAATAATGTCAAGCATTGTTTCCAACATGTCCAAGACCCTGTAAAATATTTAGAGCAATACTCAACTTCTCCGTCAAAAAAGAGGTATAATAGTATAGTCGATTATCTTAGGACATGGAGACCATTAATAGAAATGGAATCAGCTTCAAATTCAGTAAAATGCAATACAGCGACAATAAACGATGTTCCTGTAAAATTTCTATCACAGCATGAAGGAAAATTTTCATTTAGCAAAGAATTTTGTGATCAACGGAATATTGATATAAATAAAGCTACTTTGAGTGTGTTTCTTGCCGAAAAAGAAGCTGTCGACGAAGAGAACGAGGAAGGAATAAATGAAATTGCCAGTCCAGATTACCTTTGTATCAAGTGTCCGATTTTTAAAACAACCACAGAGAAACGGGATTTGAAAAAAGGAAATATTGCACCCAGCGATTATTTCATTTGGATGGCGCATGCAAAAATTTGTAGAGCAAAAATAAGAAAAGGAAAAACTGATTTCATATTTAGGATTCACAAAGATAGCAAACCGGTTCCTCCTGAACTAATGACAGAGGATAGCAAAAAAAGGTGCAGCATTGAAATCATATTCAAATCCAGTGCAGATCAGTAAGTAAAACTGTTTAATTTAAAAAAAAAGAACTATGAAAGCCTTATATACTAGTAAATTTTTAATTGTTGGAGTAGTTTTCAATATACCTATTCTTTTCAATCATATTGACTCATAAAAAATAGAGTCTAAAGCTTTAAATAATGAAAATAATAATAGTTTTATTTGTTAAAGATAAAGATAAAAGTGGTCAATACTATCGCATTATATCAAATGATTTTTCAGGAGAATTGATGCAGTTTTACAGTGTCTCAATAAAGCCACAGCTCTTGCACAATCTATAGCAACGGGAAATGCGATGCCAAAACTTGGTAAGTTGTTACAGGTATACATTTATGTTGACCAAGCGTTTGAAAAAGATAAAGGGAGGATACCAAAGAGATGGTCAAACTCATAAGTCGAAAACAAACTGACAATGCCATAACGAAAAACGACCAAAAGACGACAAAATGTATTTTTCCATTTTAGATACACATGTTTAGTAAATTTTTAGTTTACTTCTTCATATGATGTAGAGTTACGATTAGGAACGGAATATCATCCATGCAAACATTGAATGTGATGATTGATAATCATTTTATGAGTAAGCCCTTGATCTATCTGTTCCGGATGATCATTTGCATATTAAGCTGTAATGTCTAAAGCATATATCATTTCAATGAACAAAACATGAAAACTTTGCAGCAATATCCTCTTAAATAAATATCTCTTTTTAACCACAATCTTTGTCATCAGATGAAGACCACTATAAACTAGGCTTTCATACCAAACCAGAGGTTCGGTATGTAGGATTGGTTGGCAACAATACAGAGCAGTATAAAGCTATAACGAGGGCGTTAACATCATCATTTAGTTTGATACAGGGTCCACCAGGTAATATTCTATATTGATTTGTAATTTACTCTATTTGGAATAATCTATATACGAACAAAAGTTGATAGAATTTTATGAATTTGTAAGAACTGACATTAAGTTATATATTTAGGTTATTTAAGTTATTGATTAGAGTAAAACGAGATATTTGATAAAGTCAACGAGACAGACACAACGACACCAGTAATTAAAATACTGCTAGAGTTCAACATACGGTATAACACAATTAATGAAGATACCTAAACATGATTATAACAGTTAAGGTCAAGGGTCAGTAAATGGGCACATGTCACATATTTTTATAAAATTGTGCATACAACTTTGGCTAGTTGAACTATAATTGAAAATAGAAAAAATAATCTTTTGTTTTTTCTAAAATATTACTGATTAAGTTCTTTCAAAATGAGTGAACGGCGAAAAACGTTCTTAAATTTTTCTAAAATTATCCAGTCTACAAATTTAAAATCAATAGGTTTTATTTAAAAAAATCATATGTTGTTGATGCATAAATTTCCGGTCACCAACTTCGTTTTTGGTGTATTAACCAAAGTGCTACCCCAATTCTTGACATTTTACCTATTATGTCTGTTTGTTTTGCTCACACATTGTTTTCAATATAATGGAATTTTATACGACTGTTATACAAGAAAGAGTTTTAGCTTGCTATAAAACCAGGTTTAATCCACCATTTTCTACACAAGGAATGCCTGTACCAATTCAGGAATATGACAGTTGTTTGCCATTCGTTTGATGTGTATGAGCTTTTGATTTTGCCATTTATTAAGGGACTTTCCGTTTTGAATTTTCAATGGAGTTCAGTATTTTTTTTATTTTACTTTTTACCTAGTTGGCGGTAAAAAAATGCCAAAAAAAAACGCGATTACGTTACGCTTATTTTGTCGTTTTGTGGTATACTTTCACATAGAACACTACATTGAATAATGTATGCTGTAAAAACTAAGATGGTGACCCTATTATTATTTAAGTGTACGGTGGTTATACCCCGTGTCATTCCTCTGTTGGAGCACTTTATGTGTAGGGAGCACATTCATTCAAGAAAGCTTGATATACGCACAGATATAATTATCCATCACCAATATAAATAGAGATTTGTAGACAGATTAATGTTTTCGGAACATTTTCTACGTTTTTCGAAGCCAATGCATTTTTTAATATTCTAACATTGAAAAAACATATATCCCAAATCGGAGATCTTCGGACACAGCATATCGCACCAAATGTGACGATATTTCTCATTCTATTCAATTGAAAATCAAGTTTAAAAATTGTAAAAAACATAACTCCATTTTATACATTCTAGGTACTGGAAAGACTTATACAGGTATCAAGCTGGTTTACCTGTTTAATCAAATCAACCTTAAATGGAAGGAGATGGGCAATGAGAAGAAACAGATTATTTTCTGTGGTCCATCAAACAAATCTGTAGATCTGGTGGCAAGTAAGTGCTAGAGTCAAGTTCTGCAAAAATAATGAATTGTTAAAATTTATAATTAAGATTTTACCAAAAGCTGTGCATTTCTCACTCATAATGAATACATTATTCTATGATTTTGGCAGGGTGGATAAAGTGGAAGTTAAAGCATAAATGTCCTCAAATGGTTCGATGGTATGGAAGTTCTATTGAGGACGACGCCTATCCCATTCCTGGAAAAACTCAAATTTCACGTGGAGAAAGATCAAAAGCTGACGAACATTTGCGTGAAGTATCCATGCATATATTGATAAGACAATTTGGAAAGCCTTACCAGAAAGAGATTGCAGATTTTGACCGGCAATTCAAGCAAAACCCAGATGGAGTTGATTATAAAGTTGTTAAAAAGTACAGAAACCTAATATCAAAAGCTGTTAATGAGGAGGTCAAGCATCAAGATATAATTTTTTGTACAACAGCTATGGCGACAAACCCTAAGCTGCTTAAAGGAACAAGGGGACGTATTTTCCAAATTATCATTGACGAGTGTGGAATGTGTACAGAACCCGAAAGTATAGCTGCCATCATAGCAACCAGAGCTGAACAAGTAGTTCTTATTGGTGATCACAAACAGTTACGACCAATAGTAATGTCTACTGACGCCGCCAAACTAGGATTAGAAAAGTCTTTGTTTGAAAGATATGCCAAAAAGGCAACTCTATTAACTTCACAATACAGAATGGTATGCAATTTGTAACAACACTTATAAATATTATAGATTGTCCGATTGAAATCTTATCTTTGTGTTTTTTATTAATTTCCTGTAGCTTGATTCTGATTTCTGTTCTTCATACAAGTAATGTTAATAATTCTTCGATGATGCAGTTCGTACAATCTCAAACGTACGTAGACTTTTCTAGTATAAAGAAACTGAATAATCTGGATTATCGATATTTGACTTTTAACTGCAGCCTTTGTGCCAAAAACTATGTCATCAATCGTCAAAACATGTGTGGTCATCCTGTCAAAGGTATCCCGATACCTTGATGTAATCTAAACGGTTACTTGTGAAAGTTTTAACATTTTTTTCTTTTACAGAATCCTGAAATTTGTGCTTTTGCTTCAGAGCAGTTTTATTTCAATAAACTGATAACAGAACAATCAAATTGGTGGATGACCGATATTCCTCTGAGATCTTGGATAAACAAAAGTATTCCGGTTATATTTTGTGATGTTATGGGTAAGGAGGATTACCTCCCTTTTGATACAGAGGAGGGAAATGAACAGTCCTGTTGTAACCAAGAAGAGATTGAACATGCGGTATGCAAAATAAAATAGAAGTTACCAACCAATTATTCTACAATTATCATGTTAGCACTTGTTTTGATAATGCATATACTTGCATTTGCGTACAACCCCATCAGCAAAGTTGACTTTAGAAGTAAAAAGCAATTCTGTTGAAACCTATTACTATACGTCCAGTTATTTTATTTATATGTTACTTTTGAGAAATATAGTTTATGTAAATAAAATAAAGGTAGAATAGTGTATCTATACTAAACCTACGGTAAAAACTGTAATATCGAGTAATTTTGTTTTATTTGGTTATGTGTCAAACAATATCTATACAGGTTTTTATTGCACCAAATCTACATTTTGACAGTACAAATGTCTATTAAGTATTATTCGACGCCTAATATGAAAAAATCCAAAACCGAATTCAAACATTAAAGCAAATCTCATTAAAATAAAATCCGTGTTTTCATGCCAGTACCAAACTAATGGCTACTGGGCTGGTGATACCCCCGGGGACAACAGTTCACCAGCAGATATTATCATCCCAACTATTTATGTATTCAGTTTGAAAAATGTTAACTGTGCACCACCACTACTGCCGACTTATTTCTTAATTCATACAGAACTTTTTCAAAGATAAAAGAAAAAATTATTGCTAAGTTCTTTAATTTCACCTTCAAATATATTGATGATGTTCTGTCATTCAATAACCCACATTTCATAGGGTGAAATTAAGAATACCACAAAAAGAAGAAGGTCTGCTTCAAATCTTGATCTTTTCATCGATATTGATACAGACGGACGACTTCAAACTAGAATGTATGAAAAACGTGATGATTTCAAATTTCCAATTGTCAACTTCCCATTTCTCAGCATTAACACACCCTCAGCTCCTTCGTTTAGCGCTTACATATCTTTGTTAATACATTACACTCGTGAATCATCACACTATACGGACTTCATCAACAAGTTTGTGCTTCTTACACAAAAACAGAGTTATTAGAAAGAACAACTGAAATCCACACTACATAAGTTTTACGGTCACCATCACTAATTGTTTGACCGATACGATATGTCGGTGTCTCAACGCACTAGCGACATGATTTCACGGTCTTGGATATTTAGATACCAATAAAGTCGTCTGATCTGTAATTTTATCCATGGTGTCCTATTCCCGATTGTGACACTTTTACTGAGTATTACAGGTGATGCACGCATACCACGCGATGCTTACAATGTCATCGCACTTGGTCTCCCTTCTTTTGGAGTTTTGCGCTTCCTTCAGTTTTTGTTTTTTGTCTTGATTTGTCTCTTCCAAATCGATTTACAAGATTTTGAACAACGGTAAACCACTCTCGCCTTAATCTAAGAGTAACTGATGCAGTTTATTTCAGAAAAACATGTCAAACACATTGAAATCGTTATGACGTGTTTTATTACTTCCACTGGGTTTATATTGCGCATGAACTCCAAAATGACTGTCATACAAGTGAGAGATTTAGCTAGCTATCAAACTAGGTTTAATCCACATAATGAAATGCCTGTATCGAGACAGGAATATGACGGTTGTTTTCCATTAGTTTGATGTGTTTGAGCTTTTCATTTTGCCTTTTGATAAAGGACTTTCCGTTTTGAATTTTTATTGGAGTTCGGTATTTTTGTTATTTCACAACATAGAAAACTAAAGACTAAGCAACACGAACTCCACCAAAAACTGGGGGTGATCTCAGTGCTCCGGAAGGGTAAGCAGATCCTGCTCCACATGTGGCACCTGTCGTGTTGCTCATGTTAGTACAAACCCGGTAAATAGTCTAATTCGTTAGGTCACATTCGGGAAAGGGAACGGGATTGTAGTTACAACATTAGGAACATATCCGCTATCATCTGTGAAACGGATATTCCATAACGGTCAACCAACTCGTGATGGCGTCCGTAAAATTTACGAAGTGATGATTTCAACTTCACCATTTGGAACTCTTGGTTTGATAGCTTCCTTGTGAGCAGCAACCCTCTATCAAGGAAATCATGATAGGAAATACAAGCCCGGGAATATCGTATCAATTGGGAGATATATACTCCGTATGCAGGCGCTGCGGGACTGTTGCTACATAGAAAAGGAAAGTTCACAATTGAGAAGCTGAAATCATCTCTTTTGTCGTAAAGTTTTGTATTCAACCGACCCCCATTGTCAATTTCTAGATGTAAGTCAAGATATGAGGCGGACTTAACTGTATCTGTTGTATCCTTTGTCTCTAGTTCGATGGGATAGATGCGTTCAACATAATCACCAAATTTTGAATTATTTAGTGAGAGAACATAATCTATATAGCGGAAAGTAAAGAAAAGGATATTGCTAACTTCTTTTCTTTTTTCCTGAGAAGTTCCTGTATAAAGTCAGCCTCATAAGAATAAAGGAACAAGTCAACAAGAAGAGGGGCACAGTTGGTTCCCATGGGAATGCCGATAGTTTGTTGAAAAACACGTCCTCCAAACGTAACAAATATGTTGTCAATCAAGAAATCAAGCATCTTGATAATGTCAGTTTCAGAGAATTTTTTGTTTGAATCAGAGTGATTTTTTACAAAGTAGGATTTATCCCTCCCTAAGACAAGATACTTGTATCTACGTTGGCCATTCTTTTTTATGAAACAAATCAATACCAACTCTTTCAATTTGTCTTTTAGTTTGGAATGCGGAATACTTGTGTAAAGTGTAGAAAAGTCAAATGTTTTAATACTGTTGCAAGATGAAAGAGTCTTAGATTGTATGTACTCTAAAAGATCTTTGGAATTTTTTAGTATCCACATCTGATTCACGCCACCTCTAGAATAAGATGAATATCATTTTTAAAAATCCGAAATCCCTAACATTTGTATTCCTCCCTCAAATTCGTATTAAGCCAACTGATATTGTTTCAAAAAAATACTAGAAAGCAGATCTTTGATGACTTGTTGAACTGAACACCTGTTGAAATCGGTATCGTATGTTTAATTCATTCTACTGGTTTGGTATGACTACAGCCTAATGACTCTCAGGCCCAATAGGTACAAACATTTCAGTGTCAGAATGCTTCAATAGTATCAAGATGTGAATGGCACACTTTAGATTTTTATTTTTGTAGTTTTTAAATTATTGTATTCAATTATAATTGATATACAACCACAATAGACTAAGTCAACCTTAGAAATAATGCGCTGTAATAGTTAAGATTTTAAGTAACAGAAACGTACGCAGATAATAGTTACCTTATGATTTCAGGAATGAACCTTATTCATTTAAAAAAAAAAAAAAAAAAACAGTCTATAATACTTTAAATTTGTTTATCATTTTAAGGTTAAAATATTTAAACATCTGGTTGATGAAGAGTTGATAGATACAGAATACATCAATATTATGAGTCAGTATAATGCCCAGTGTACAGCGATGAGGAAAGCTCTGAAAGCAGAAAAGTTTATAAAGTTTAACGTGAATACAGTTGTAGCCAGTCAAGGTTTGTCACTTTTTTGTACTATAATCAGACATAGGACCACTTTAAATATATAAATCTTTTCTGTGAAGTCAATTTCAAAATGAAATACAATTGACATATTATGCTAGAAGACATTCCTTGGGGCTTGGAGATATTTTAAGTGAAAACAGTATGAAATAAAGCACAGAGTTTTAAAGAATTCAATGTTTAGTTAATCATTCAAAAATGTCTGATAATTCACCTTTTAATACACTCACTAGACAGAGTACTGAAGACGCTATGGTATTAAGCCTAAGACATTTATGAAATAATTAATCAAAGAATTTAAATATAGAAGTATTTACATCAACGGTACGAATTTGTCCGCATCAAATGCGCATTTCGACAATATATGTCTCTTCGGTGATGCTCGAGCCCAAAATATACAAAAAATCCAAAGCTGAATAAATAGAATGAAGAGCTCATAAACCAAAACGGACCAAACAGTGTAATCATAACTTCCTATCATGAAATACGTCGAGTATGATTTTTGACAGCAATTACAATTCCACAGTTATTCTCCAAGTTATCTTAAAATGATTGAATAAGTCAAAATATTCAACCAGTGACCGAACAACACATTAATGCACGAATGCGTGTAGCTCATGAGTAAATCATCAGTGTTGTTCGGTCACGAGTTTATATTTTTCGATATTAGAATTCTTCGATTATTCTTTTTATTACATTGACCGTCAACTTTTTAATGGAAATAAAGTAGAAAATACAAGGAACTACATCTTTTTCTACGCATTCCCAATTCGTTTTGATACAACGTCATCGATTATGTCTCAACATGACGTCAAAGGAATGAAATTATCGGATTTATTTAACATGTGAACTTATCGGTTTTTATTTAACTGGAAAATCACGGTATTTTATTGTAAAATAGAGGCGAAAGATACCAAAGGGACATTCAAACTCATAAGTCGAAAACAAACTGACAACGCCAAACAGACAAACAACAGTACACAAAACACAACATAGAAAACTAAAGACTGAGCAACCAATGTAATAAATATTATTAATTACACAGTGTGCTAGTAACCTAATACGATATATATGCGGTCTGTAAATTCCATAGGGGTTGAGATTGAAGCTCGAACCTCATATGGAATTTACAGACCCTATATAAATCGTATTAGGTCACTAGCAGACTGTGTAACGAATTTATTTTACCGACTATCTTAAGATATGGCATTTGGATTGATGATCTAGTCTTCAATATAAAAAACCTACTTCCATTGGTTAATATAAAAACAAATGCCAACAATAACAAGTTGTTAGCTTTTAATGTGTTTTCTGCAGCATTTATTTCAATCGTTCATCATCAAATTCTTTATCTGTTGTCCATGTTGTCCGGGCGAATGTTTCAAACTTTTCATTTACCAAATTGCAGTTTGAATTCATCTCCACAAACTGATCAATTGGTTAAACATTTTAGCTAATTGCTTCAGTGAAAGGTTGTTAGTATTAAGTGAGTGCTGTGAAATAAAATTAATGCATACCATCCAACTTCAGTTATTTAATGTCTGTGTAATGAATTTGAAATTTAAACAATCACCTACTATAATATAAGGCACTTGTTTAAAAAGGTCTGAATTTGACATGAAAACTTGTATCCTAATAGTATAAATAATTAGTTCTTACAATTGCTTGGTTAGTCAATAATTTATTGCTTTGTTTTCTAACAGGAAGTTATTGTGTAATTGTTATTTGGATAATTTTTTCTATAAGAATTACTGATCTGCTGGCATTAGAGGGAAATTATTTTAATTCAATCATTGTAAAAATAAATTTAATCAAAGATACCAGGCTAATGATTTTGTACGCCAGACACATGTTTTGTCTACTGCAACAGAAAAGACTCATCAGTGAGGCTCGAATGAAAAAAATTGAAATGCCACATTAAGTAGGAAGTTGAAGAGCATTGAGGAAACGACACTCCGAAAGGTTTTGACAAATACTGCTTATAAGTAATCTAATCCACAAGGGGTAGAAAATCCTTAGTATTTTTTACAATTCAGATTTTTGCAAAACAGTTAATTTATAATTTTGACCATCTGAATGATAATTCATGTTAACACGAAATTGCTGACTACTGGGCTGGTGATACCCTCTTAATTTACACAAGAATATGTATGATTATACAACTTTGAATGTGTTCCATAATATGTTTTCAATATTTTTTTTTCTAAATTTGAATCATCTTACACATAGATTTGTGTGTTCTTTTAAGAACAGAGAATAATAGTTAAATAATCATTGAAATAATTTTTAGAACAAATTATTTATAAAATGTCAATATGAAGGAAGTTGATAGTTGACAGAACACAATTTTTCTGAATATAATTTTATGTATTTCCCTTTATTATTATCAGATTAGTAATTGCTTTAAAAAAAATATCCAAATTACAATTACGCAATTACCTCAATAATTGTTAGAAAACAAAGCTATGAATTATTGACAAAAAACAAATAATGTTTTGAACTAATGATTTATGAAATTTATTTAGGATAGAAGTTTTTATGTCAAAGTTAGACCTTTTTAAACCAGTACCTCATATTATACTAAGTCATTAGTTTATTTAAATTTCATGACATAGACAAAAATTAACTGCAGTTGAATGGTAAGTATAACTTGTTTTTTTCACTGCACACACTTCACACTAACAACATATCACTGAAGCAATTACTTGAAATAGTTCACCAGTTGATTAGTTTGTGGTGATGAATTCAAACTGCAATTTGGTAAACTAGTTGAGCAATTGTTGTAGTAATTGCCAAAACCTACCGAATAAGCACTGTAATATATATATATATATATATAATTTAGACAATCAGAGTTAGATGTGCAAATTTGCGGTATGTGTATGTGTGCGTCCTAAATAACAGTTTGTTGATTATCTAAGATCCATTCGACATGTTTTCACCTGTTATAATAATTAAACATTAGCACCTATGTCCATTGTTTTGCTCTTTGAAACATTCAAACAAGTGAATACAGTTGATTACTTAAATATTATACTTAAAGCTATCAAGTTTCACTGTTGCAATAGAACTTCCTATTATGAAATGCGTCGAGTATGATTTTTGACTGCAATTACAATTCCACGGTTATATGTTACATTAAGCTTATTTAGGAGTGGGATATCATACCATTGCTACCATGATATTTTGGGATCGGATATGGTATTCACTTATGTCACAATTATCATTTTAGATTTTTCTGAACAATTAAGAGGCTTTAATTTTATTGCAACATAACCAGCTACCATTAAAGTGCAGGTCAATATTCTGACTTTAACTACCTTAACCATTATGCCCTTTGAATTGTCTTGCAACAGGGGAAGTGGGTTCGGTATGATATTTGGAGAATACCTCATAGTTTTGTAATATTTTACCTTTAAATGCAGTCAAAACAACAACATACAATGGAAAAAAGTTTGTGAAAGAAAGAAACACCAAGACAAAGGAAAAATTGCATGAACATCAGTCACATAGTCAAGATTTTTACTGCCGTTCATGAATTGATATAGCCAGTCCCGTTAACATTTGCCAAATTTGATCACGATCCTGTGATTAGTGAAATATTCGTAGCTGGAAATTCAAGTTATATTTTTAAAATTTGTAAACATATGTATATCATCACGACAATCAAATATTGTTTAAGAAGCGTCCCGATTTAGCAGTTTTCAGCCAAATTCTGATCCAATTTGTATCTTTCATACAATCAGTTCGTATTCGGCAGGATCTGGACTCAATCTGGACAAAATCGGAAAGAAACTGCAATATCAGATGTCTTCAGATCATGCCCGTTTCTCCGAACACCTTCCAGACAACACAGGAAATTGCCAGATTTTGATACGATTAAGCAGAATCTGTCAGAACAAAGTCACGATTGTAATCCGACAAAAACAAAATCGGCTAGATATTCCGAATGTAACGGGAAGCACCTAACTATCGGAAATGCTTGACCGACCTCATTGGATCATACTTGATTCGTAGGATTTTATTACGAACGTATTCGACTGCGTTCATACAATGATAGGACATTCCGATCATAGAGGATTGAAATCCGACTTTTTTTTCACTTTTTGCGTCGTAGAACTGTTTGATCTCAAACGGGAGCCATTATCAGCAATGTGTTGACGCCACATAAAAAACAAACAACAGTGTACAAAACAAAGCACAGAAAATTAAAGATCATGAAACACGAAACCTGTAAAAACCTGGGCTTAACTTAGTTTGAAGTTAAGCTATACCTGTAGAAAACTTATTACAAACAGGATAGCACATCCTAATTTTTATGGTGCTGTTGTTTATTGAGGCTAACAATTTAGATACGATCCGGGTAAACTTATTAATCCTTTGGTTCAACTTATCTTAAAAGCTTATTGTTTTTATCAGTATAACTATTGATTTAGTTATCAATAAATTAAAACCAAACTAAATATTATTGGTGTACAAATGTACACTCACGGTCCTACAATCTATCGATACCTATATGTTGGTATTGTACAAGGTGACAGCTTTCTCCGACTGTTTTTGGCGTCTTTACGCTAAATCCATCGGATGTTGGATGTGTACTAATTCATATTTGAGTCTACGATAGATTTTGTATTAGCTGTTATTGGATTTAAACTAGCAATCAGTTACTACGAGACTAATTTGTGTTATTTGTGTTTTTGTGCTTTGTATCGATCTGATGAGCCCTGTTCAACTGATTTTTAAAGTTTGTTATGTTTTTGGGCTGCTACACTACTGTCATATGTAAGGTGGATTGTTGGGTGCCAGCTACATTCTGTACGTGCCTGTCCCAATTCTATTAATGAATGAACAAGCTATTATCAGGCTAATATAGTTGTTTATATGTGAATGTCTAAAATCTTTACCTATAAAGAATTTACAGAAGAATAAGCAGTTCCTGCTTCACCAGTGTCACCTGTCATGTTGTTCTGAATAAGGTGTAATTCAATGATAAGTCACATTTGGTGCTCTGTTTTTTAATAAGTATGCTCCTTGAAAATATAATGGCAAAAAAGAGAGAAGTCCAATAAAACAGAGAACACCATTGCAAAACAAAAAGCACGAAAAGACAAACAACGTTCTACAAATAAAATTGAGAATGAAAACGGGGAATGTGTCAAAGAGACAACAACCCGACCAAAGAGCAGAAAACAGCCCAAGGCCACCAATGGGTCTTCAACACAGCGGGAAAATCCCGCACCCGGAGGCGGGCTTTAGCTGGCCTTTAAACAAAAATGTGTACTAGTTCAGTGAACATGAACGTCACACTAAACTCCGAAACATATAATAGAACTAAAAAAAAACATACAAGACTAACAAAAGCCAGAGCATCCTAACTTGAGACAGGCGCAAACATGCGGCGGGGTTAAACATGTTTTGTGAGATCTCAACCCTCCCCCTATACCTCTAGCCAATGTAGAATAAACAAACACACAGCAATATGCAAAGTAAAAACTACTAGCAGTTTCTGACAGCACTGCACAGAAAATCAACATAAATCTCATAAAAACCGGAGGTAACCTCAGGTGTTACAGAACCTGCCACCCTATAGCTAGTGTCGTTAGTCGTATTATATATTTAAAAAAAAATCATAGGCAACATTTGTTTTCCAATGTTCTTAAATCCATAAAAAGGATACATGCATGGTAAACAACAAAAATTGAGGGATTCGCATCCAAAAGGAGTCAAAGAGGGTGCATCGACAGTGTAAGCGTCTCTTGTGATGCATGCATCACTCGTCATGCGAATCCACACTCATTCAAAGAGGGGCGAAATATACCAATAGGAAAATCAAACTCATAAGTTGAAAACGAACTGATAATGTCATGGCAAAAACAAAATACTACCAAAAAAACACAACATAGAAAACTAAAGACTGATCAACACAAACCCCACCAAAAACCAGGGGTGATCTCAGGTGCTCTTTAAGGGCAGGCAGATCCTGCTCCACGTGTGGTAACCGTCGTGAGTATCGTATACGTACAAACCCGGTGATAAGTATTATTGGGGTATGTCACGAAGTATGTAGAAGACGGATTATAGTTACGACAATTGGATCATATCCGATGTCATCTGTAAAACAGATATTCAATAACGGTCAACCAACTCATGATAGCTTCCATAAAACTTTTGAAGGTATGCTATTAACTTCATCACTTGAAAATCTTGGTTTAAGTAACCCTCTATCAAGGGAATCATAATAGGAATTGCAAGATCTCGAATATCGTTTCAACTGGGAGATATATTCCAAAAATGCAGGCGCTGCTGGAATGTCCAAATCATTGATAGGACACTATTGGTTTAACAACAGATCAGACGACTATTCTGTTATTGAAATTCTAAGATCACGAAAACTTGTCGCTATTGAGTTTAGAAACAGATGCATCGTATCAGTTAACAAATATGTGATGGGGACCGTAAACTTGTGTAATGTCGTTCAGCACCATAATTCTGTAGTAGTTTTAGTGTGAACATGAACAAGTTTAACAGATCAACTGCGATATGTAAACGCCATACGATTGGTCAGATGGTATTTTACAGCTGATAAATGGGAAGTTGACAATTTGAAAGTTGAAATCATGACGTTTGTAAAAAGTAAAATCACAAAAATACTGAACTCCGAGAAAAATTCAAAAAGGAAAGTCCCTAATCAAATGGCAAAATCAAAAGCTCAAACACATCAAACGAATGGATAACAACTGTCATATTCCTGACTTAGTACAGGCATTTTTTTATGTAGAAAATAATAGATTCTAGTATGAAGTCAAGATCAAGATATGATGCATACCTTGAGGTTTCGATAGAACCTTAATATTAAGTTCATTTGGATATATGAGATACACACTGAAATATGGGTACTTGGGTGACTTGACTTGACTATACTGCACAAATTTACAAAACAGTAAAACAGTAAATAAAAAAAAGGCCTGAAGACGGAGCAGCATGAGTCCCACCAAAAATTGAGGGTGTCTCAAGTGATCCGGAAGTATCTGTTGAATCATTTTCAGATGATAATATATATAAGTAAGGATGTTATATGGTCCAATAGTCGTATAGTGACCTATATTTGCATACGTCTTCGTCATCTGGTCCCTGATGGATAGTAGTCTCATTGGCAATTATAAAAAAATATTCTCTCTATCTGTGCGCCGTTCTAGGAGCACCTGTTTGCTTTTGTTGTTGAATTCAGATGTAAAGGAGAAGGTCCGGTAAGGGCTAATTTTGGCCTAAAATTTGAAGAACATCTGATGAAAGTTTTTTGACATTTTTTAAACACTTTAGTGTCTACTTCAGTCGATTCAATTAGTTTGTGTAAAACATTGTTATTGGTTTGGTCATTAAAGACGCTCAAACTCAAGCTTAAATATGAAGAATCTCTCAAGTATGCCACAAAACATCACTTTTCAGGTGGTTTTTGTCTAAAATGGAAGTGGCCGCATACGTGTCCGATCTCAACCTTTTTATATGTTATGTATTATCATCAAATACAACATATATTTAAATATCAAGACTGAACACAAGTGCGGCCACTTCCATTTTAGACAAAAACCGTTTAAAAATTAGAACAAATGCTAAAATTGTAAGATTTCTGTTATTTTGCATGTATTGTATTGTCAAAAACAGCCCATATCTATGTAACAAAATGATTCAACTTTCAAACAGATAGCAAAAAGTTAACATTTTTAACAATTTTTTAAAACGCTATATTTTGGGACCAAAAAGGGGTCTTACCGGGCCTACTCCTTTGCTGTAGATTAGTTTCCAAGTAGGTTTCAAACATAAGCTAATAGAACTCGCCAAGGAATTTGTTTTTGTCCCGGCTGATAAAGCTGCCAATAATATCATTATTGTTTGACGTAAATTTTACATTGAGGTTCTGCAAAGGGAAATCACGATCTACAACATTCCAACTGACTCCATTTTCGGAAAAATGACATCTGTAACAAACATAAACTTTTAGCTACCTCTTTACAAGCAGAACCAAATACAATGAAAGTTCCAACTATGTACTGACTTCCTAAGCTGCACAAAACACCTTACAAATATAGATTTATTTCGACTTCAAGCCACTGTTCCACTACTGAACTGTCTATTCTACTTACTAGTACACTTGGTACAATAAAAAACCTGGTAATAAATTGTTCAAATAAGGCCTTTGAAAATAGTGGAATTAATTACTTTTGGAGTGTCAAAAAATCGTTGGAAGTACTTGATGAATTGCATGCTTATATTGGTGATTTCGATCTGTTCAAAGTTTTGATTTTTCTACCCTATATACCACTTTGCCTCATAATCTCATTAAGAAAAAAAATCACACAACTTATTAAATGGGCATTTAAAAAGTCAGAATGCGAATATATATGTTCAAACTCTTTTAGGTCATTTTTTAGTAACAACAAACAAAAGAACTATGTCAATTGGACCTGCTTTGATACTATAACTGCACTTGAAATTTTACTAGATAACATTTTTGTTCACTATGGAGATTCCGTATATTGTCAAGTTATCGGAATTCCAATGAGGACTAACTGTGCACCACTTATTGCGGACCTGTTTCTGTATTGTTTTGAGTTACAGTTTATGACTAAAATCAGCAAAGACCCATCGAAACAACATCTAATAAAAAAATTTAATATCACTTTTAGATATTTGGATAATATGTATTGGCTCTCAATAATGTTAGTTTTGTATGTTTTTTTTATTTTATTTCATTTATATGTTTCGGTGTTTAGTGTGACGTCTATTTTCAATGAACTAGTACACATTTTTGTTTAAAGGCCAGCTGAAGCCCGCCTCCGAGTGCGGGATTTTCCCGCTGTGTTGAAGACCCAATGGTGGCCTTGGGCTGTTTTCTGTTCTTTGGTCGGGTTGTTGTCTCTTTGACACATTCCCCGTTTTCATTCTCAATTTTATTTGTAGAACGTTGTTTGTCTTTTCGTGTTTTTTGTTTTGCAATGGTGTTCTCTGTTTTATTGGTCTTCTCTCTTTTTTGCCATTATGATATTTTCAAGGAGCATTCTTATTAAACAACAGAGCATCAAATGTGACTTATCATCGATTTACACCTTATTCAGAACAAGATGACAGGTGCCACTGGTCAGGCAGGAACTGCTTATTCTTCCGGAAATTCTTTATAGGTAAAGATTTTAGACATTCTGCTCTTTGGTCGGGTTGTTGTGTCTTTGACACATTCCCCATTTCCATTCTCAATTTTATTTTATTCTGTATTTAAAGGAGGTGAATGGGACTATGTTATTATAAGCCTTGTAAGATCCTTACCACATTACAGAATAGAACCAAACCCTACGTTAGGTTGGTGTAAGCAGAATCTTGGTTTTATCACTGATGAACACCAAGCAAATGTAGCCTTGACAAGGGCTCGTAAAGGACTTATTGTTTTAGGTAAGTAGGCTTGCAATTTTCTTATATTGAAACTGGAAAAGATACGTAAAACAAAAGAAAAATGAATATTTTGAAAATTGTCCTGTTTTAAACACGACTACTTTTTAATAGTTATGCTAATTCTATACGTGCAAGAATATTACAGCAACATTTGAATATTTGGATTTTATAATTCATCAACCAAAATGTGTAAAATGAACATATATTACCACTTCACTCAAGCAAAATTCATTTGAAAGAGGAAAAACGACTGAAATCTACTCTACATACATTTTAGGGTCATCGTCACGAATTGATAACCATATCTTTTTGCGGTCTTATATCTTTTGATATCAGAATATTCGTCTAATGTGTAATTATACTGACTGTGTCCTATTCCAGATTGTGACATTTTGACTTACTGTGGAATAGCAAGGCGGATATGCATGCATGACAGGAGATGCCCACCCAATCACACTTTTGTTTTAAGTTAAAGTGATTCTCTCAGTTTTTGTTTGTTACCTTGATTTGTCTCTTCTTTTTCAACTTATGATATTTGAACATCAGTAAAATACAAATGACTACATCTATTATTTTGAGGCTGTATCGATTATTTATTCTTAAGTTTTTTCTTGTTACCTTGATTTGTCTCTTCTGTTCTGATTTATGACTTTTGAAAATCGTTTACATATTATTGCTTAAATTTATCTTTCCTTTGAGGCTATATTATTTGTATTGCTTTCCATGCTTTGCGCAGGTCTGGCATTCAAAATTGTTTGCTCTAAGCGGTCTTTGTGAAGGTTAATTTAGATATATTCTTCAAATGTAACATACACTTGAATAAAATGGGAGATTTCGTGAACGTCAATGAGACAGCTAACATATCGACTTTGCGGTCTTCAACATAAGACGAAGCAATGTTTTAACGACTTGCATGAAACGTGACACTACCAATCAACATAGCTTATAAAGGTATACAGCCAGGCTTTCTGCATATAACGGGACGATCATTGGGATGAAAAAATTCCACTATTCTTCTGGTGAACTATTAGTCCCCGAGGGATATCATCAGCTCAGTACTCAGTGCTTCAGTACTGATATGATCTACAATACATATCTATTAAAATTTCCCGTTCATAAATAAAGAAATTACTAGTATTCAGAAACTAGGGTTCAAACTTTTTCAGTAAAATTGACCTTGAATATTGCTATTCTGTTTATGCCTTTTTTTTGTTATCATAGTTCCAAACGTTTCAACGAATTTACCCACCCCTGACTTTTTAATGTTGAAGTTTAAGCGTTTTTTATGAAAGCAGATCCAGAAAAGCGCATCGGACACATGAAAGTTATTGAGTGTTTATTTCACATACCCCATCCCCCGCCCGCCCCCCAAATTGGTAGTATGCTTTTCTAGTTTTACATGTGATCTTTTACGTTTACATTTTGTAGGAAATAAGGAATTGTTAATGTGCAGCAAAGTGTGGGGACGTTTTATCACTCATTATGGTAGACGGGGTTGTGTTGTTGATAAGGAAAAATTTCCACCCAAACGTTCCAGTAAGAAGAAGAAAAGGAAAAATCGAAAAGAATAAAGAAAAGCAAAAGTTTGGAGAGCTCATTGAAAATGATAAGCATGTCCATTATAAGCGGAGAGTCATGAGTTATTTGTCTGCCTTTCCTGCATGCAACTACTACAGATTGCTTTGAATTTATACAAATAATTTCCTTTAAAAGAATGCACATTCTTCGTGTACTATGTATTATAGTGTGAAATACGTTTTTAAGTCATATTTGATATATATCAAGCCCTTAGATGCCCTGAAATATTTCAATGAGATGAAAGATAATTTCCGTTGGTCAAATTGTTTTTTGTTTTTGTTTAAAAAACCTTTTTATAATTGACTAACCATGTTATATACATTTCTTTTTCTTCAAATTTACTTTTATCTTTGGTTAAATATATGCACACGTAACAAAGAATTTTAATGAGCAAACAAAGTTATAAGGCATTTTTTCTTCTTTAGTTGCAAATTAGAACATAAGAACATATATTGAGTATATGGAGCTAAGCTTTAAATCTCTCTCTTTGCAAATATGAAATTGCGGTACTGCATTGTACGAAGATGTTTACACAACAGTTATAAAGATATTCAAAAATTCATGCGCACCTTAAACAGAACCACCAAACCGTTTGAAGTGTTTATACATAATTGTAGGGGTTTCCCTGAGTCGTTTTGACCACCCCTTTCGAGTTTATGTTAATGTCAATGCCATTAGCGTTGAATGATTTCATTTTGCTACAATTTTCTTTATAAGAATGAATCAATCAAATAGTGTCGTTTCTGTCCACCATTTAATGAAAATGATTATATATTTAAGAATTGCCTTTGGCATAAAGTAGCATTTATTTATTAAGAATTAAACAATGAAAAGGATAACAACACAGGACAACTGACCACATCATTCAAGAAATATTGATCACTTTATATTATTTTCCTTATGTGAGGGTCTAGAGAGGGGTCTTCATTGAAGTTTTCCTTAATTCGTCAGGCCATTTTCTATAATGTTTTTTCATATTATTCTCTATTTTGATATTTATAGCTCCCCATTATACTGTATTCTTGATTAGTTTGCCCATTTTTATCTTTACTGTAAACCGATTTAGACCCTCCGATATGGTTGCAAAGTTGTCTCATGTTCATCAATTCATGATTTGTTTTACTTTTTGTTTTATATTTTAACACTATCTAGCACATGGAATTTTATACTGCAATTTTGTCTTGTATTATATTTATATGTATATTTTCTAACTAATCTTAATTATATGCTTGTTTTTCATTAAATACATTATGTCTTTCATGCATTCTTTAGTTTTTGTATTAAATAAAATACCTATTGACTTTTTTCAAACTGTGTTTATAATCTTTTTATAAGAACACGTGGTAGTAGAAAAATTACAGGAGACAATTGAGTAAATTATGATTTAAGAAAATCTATCTATAAGGAAAATAATATTTCATTTGTATGTATACTGGGGGTCTTTATTTAATGCAGCATTCAAAACCTAAGAATACATTTGTTTCTGTTGACGTCCTAGAATAAAGAATACTAAAAGAAATAAGCTATTACCTTTCTCGTTTCTTAAGTCTTTCCTGAATTTTTTCAATGGCAATAAAATAACATCTTCTAAATTTTATCATTACTAGCGTTATAGTCTGGGTTTCAATTATATACTGTGCTTATCCATTAGTTTTAGCCTGACGGACGTTTGAATATCCAAGTAAACTTTTTTCCAAACTAGTGTTCCTGACAAATGAGTGTTTTCTATGATTACAACAGTGATTGGGAGACTCATGAGTTCTCATTGAACGGATTGCGGACTTAATTTTTGCCTTATCAGTTCAGCCGTGAATTCACCGCTTGTATCATCAATCTTTCGTGAATCATATTCAAAATTACCAAAATGAGAAAGTTGAATGTATTCTGCATGCCTTTTTGCATGAATGCTAGATGTATTAGTATGTGCTCACGTCCTGTCAGAGTTTGTATCATATTTCCAACTTGTATTTGATTTGGTTTTCCAATGCTTTGTTTCGAGCGCCACTAACAATAACCGCGCGTCTGACGTACCAAATAATAAAGCTGGTATCTTTGATGAGTTTTCACATGTCTTGTATAATAAGCTTATTGGTTGCGATAAGAAAACGAACGGACAACGGACACCGTGTTATAACAATAGTTCATATTGTTTTAATGTAAGCTGAAAAGGAATGACACAAACTATGGATATGGTTGATTAATTGGTTGATTGTTGCTCGTTCAACGTCCAGAGGCAAATAATTCTCACACATTCAGCACGAGAACAAATTGCAATTAATACATGATTCGTTTTTGCATGTATATCGACCGGGAAGACGTGCGGGAATTTTGGACTGCTACTGGTAACTGAAGGTATTTGGACAAAAACAGAAAATTTGCCTTGCATGTGAATACGTAGATAGATGCAGACTTTCATTGTTTTTGCAAGGGTTTTTAAACATACAGGGACCGTGGGATTCCTAACCCTAAAAATTCTGGCGTCATTTTCTGCTGATCTTCGATTGCTACATTAACGCCTGAATGAACAGACAATGAACAATCGTCAATTAATCATTTGGATTTAGCCCGGAGTTTACCTATCCAGATCAAATTAAGCTGACTGCTGCTGATTTGTCTCCTCTTCCACAAGACACCAACCTAAATCCAGCGTTCGGGAAGAGTTTTAAGTGTAACAGAAATTCAGGCCCACGTAAGATTGAGAGATCGACTAGGGGAGGGACTGAATTATTCGGGTTATACACAAGTCAATCGACTTAATGTCCCTTTTTCGACCGCACATTGCTGCATATGTATAATCATATAGCCGGTCTGAAGATGACCAGGAATGAACATATTTATTTACCCCTGTTAACCCGGGTATAGTAATTTAGAAAAACACAGCTTCATTCGTATTGTGTTAAATTCTTTATCTCGTTTGCATATATGTAAATATCAATACCACGTAGCTTAAGGAATGTATTTCCTAATCTCCCGAATAGTTCGAATTCTTTGTCCGGGTTCGGCGAAATATTTTGACATGGAAGAAAGTCAAAGTGTGCATCAGGTGCATTAACATTGGTATCGTTTAGTATTATTGTATTCGTAATTTTATCTAGTTGATAACTTTTGCATCCAGATAGAGGAAGAAAGGAAATCTATGATAGTGACATGCAAAAACCTGTTAAATTTTGCCCCATGTAAATTTCTTTGTGAACGCAATTGTAAAAATGTAAAATTTTCTATTGAACTTGACAGGTTACTTTGATAAATCCAGATCAACGGATACATAATATTCGAATAAACAGACTCTTCTACTATGTAACTACATACGAATGTTGATCATGGGACCGAGTCCTCGATAGACCAGATGATGCCCTTGATTTTTTTAAAAGGGTAAAAGAATGCTTTTAGGATGAGACTACATACAGTAGATTCTAAGGATTCACTTTTTGCTATATAGATGATGTTCTCTCATTAAATAATTCAAAGTTGAGAGACTATGTTGAACGCAAATCTATCCCATCGAACTTGAAATAGAGGATACAACATATGCAGTTAAGATTGCCTCATATCTTTACTTGCATCTAGATTGCTAAGGATACGTTCAATGTTGAAATCACAATCTTGTCCCCTTTCAAATATGACATCACCGAATTAGACTTATCACCAAATGTGTACTCACATGACCAACACGATTGGTGCCACATGTCGAGCAAGATCCGCTTACGTGTGCGGAGCATATATTGAAACATGACATTATTTCCAATTATAACATGACAATAAAGTAATAAAGAAGGTTCATACTTGCATAAACTACATATAGAGAACTTTCAATCAATCTATTTATGAAATACATACTTCTTATAACAGAATATAACAGCCATTGAAGCATATAAAATGATATAACTAAAGTTTTTAAGTAAAAACAATTTATCTAGTCGTTTTTTTTTCTTGTGTGTTTGTTCATTAGAAAGAATGGTCTATTTAGCCTATTGTTAATTGGTTTTGTCGCCTACAAATGTTTCCAATGTGCACAATATTTTTCTTGTATTTGTCTTCCACATGTTGAATCTAATCTATATCAATATATCGAAAGACTACAACTTCCTGAATTACTGTTTGATTGCGAAGTTCTTGGTATCTATGATGCATCTAAGATACCAAGATTGAATTTTGTACGCTAGACGCGCGTTTCGTCCATAAAAGACTCACCAGTTTGTATCCTCATCAGTTTGAATTATAGATGAAAATATGCATTACTGCCATACATTAATAGATGCAGTGTTATAGATACAGTATCACCAAACAAAACCAAGCATTTTCTGGCAAACTATGTTTTCCAATCAAACCGAAACAGAGACAACTTACGAAGGATTATGTGTTTAAATTACTCTGTTAGTTTGAAAGAAGAATGTCGTAATATTTTAAAATAAAAGATCGAAATAGGGGCGTCATGTACTAGCAGCGAAACAATCTTGTCAAATGGCAACTCAAACGATGTGACCTTTAATGTCCTATATTTATATGCCACAAAGCTAATCCGAAACAAAAACAAAGCATGTGGTCTTAAGGTCTGGGAGTAGACATTCTTTAAATCCATGAAATCTATTAAAAGTTGAAATTATATCGAACAGAAACTTGTTTGCCATTATCATGATCAACACTTAATTCTCAAAATAATAGAAAAAATAAAAAAGATAAATGATTAAACAACCACTTCTTGTTGAATACCAACAGGAATTAATATAAGTAAGGATTTGTATAGTGAGACTATACAAATCCTTGATATAAGACAGGTAAAACTTCATGTTGTATATGATGAATTAGAAGAAGATTGTTAAACATGTCAAAGTCTTTTCAACAAACGACATGAACAAAAGAGACCAATACTATTAAATCTAAAATCATAATAATGCATTCAATGTTGTATTTGTAGGTTTGATGAAAGCAGCAGGAACAATAACCTTGCTGAAAGGTCCACAGAATATAATGGTAGATACAGGAAATCCATGGGACAAACAGTTAATTCTTGATGGTACTATTTGATTTCATATATAACTATTAAAGCAGATTTTGAAGTCTACTCCAATTGAATCAGATGAAAGAAAACAAAAATAATTTTTCATAACTGGAATAGGGTCTTTTCGTGTCACATATAATTAATATTTAGATTTTTCTATGTGGGAAATCCCAAGGGAACATTTTAGACCATGACCCTTTGATTCCTGCCAGTAAAGTTGCAATTAAATATGACAAATAGCAATGTTTACAAAATAAAATAACAACTAG